CTCTCCAAGGCAGGTAGGATGGGGACTGTTTTAGCAATAATACAGCAGTTGTGACATTACACGCAGCACCTTCTCTGCACACCATCGAGGCTGCCGCACCTCCTCCCCCTGCTTCCTTCTCATTCACCACGGTGACAGCAGCAGCAACAACAACAGTATGTGAAATCATGCCTTCATTATACGGCCACAGGATCTTAATTGCGGATTTTCATCCCACCATAGGCGGTTCTACACTAAGTTCTTGCATATTAGCTCACTTGTAATGTACCTAAGATACTACTAACATCACCAATAGTACTATCTGCTGTTATTTTATGGCAATGAGGAAGAAGTAAGCAGCAAGCAAGTAAAATGCTTGCTAAGAAGGCGTTTACCAAGAGTCAACGAAGACTCACGGTCTACAATTAGCATCTACTTTCAAACGGAACAAATCAAATCAAATCAAAAAGGGACTCTGCATCTACCAGCCAAATTTAGCAACTGCATTACTTTTTAGCCATTTTTTGCAATTACCTTTCTTTCTGTGCATCAGTGGAGCTGTCGATGTTGTGTCTGACGGAGGCGAAGGCGTTCACTCCTTCAATGACGGCACCAACATGCCAACTTGTCAGTTAGACGGAAACACCAAATTTGTGCCTTGTTGTGGCTGAGAGTGATGTTTACGCGACATCACTCCGCCTCTGTCTTATAATAAGCAGTAAAGCGACGATTATTTTAATCATCAAATCGAGAATTAGGTCCCAATGGACACCTTTTGTGGGGGTTTCACTTGCTTATCATCAACGAATTCTGCATTGACTCGATTTGTTGTTTCACGATTTCGCACAAAGCCTTTTAGGGCGACCTTCATTAAGTCCATCGCAGCCTCATTTACCTGACACAAATTTGGCCAACTTGTCGAAGGCGGAGGGTAGTATGGAAATCAAACCCGTCGAAACGCATCAGTGGACACCTCTCTTCATCCACCTCGGCTAGGTGAGAAGAAAGTGCGTTATTAGCGATTGATGGGAGAACTCGGCGCTACATCCGAGTCACCATACTTGTGTGGCACTTCACTACGCAATGTCGATCACCTCTTCTCCAAACACGCTGTGGAACATTCAATTTAGCGGTGTCTTGAGGAGTTGCACAAAGTCGCTCTCACAACTGCATTGCCTTTAGCAGTCCACGTGGTGGTGTGGAGAAGAAAACGATTTTTCCTTGAAGTCCACGTGATTTCAGGGTTGGTGTGGCGGAGGAAGTTCCCGCATGGCGGCGGCAACTTTCACCAGTTTTGTGGACAACTTTCGCACCCAACTGGCTAAGGATGCGGAAATGCATTTGAGCACCATTTTTCCTCAGCGTCTTCAAACCATAATTGATGTGCTCAAGAGTCCACTTTTTGACTTGACATTAAATCGTCAAAAACTCCACGATGCAGCTCTGACTCCAATTCCTTCCGACGTCTGTGGCAAGGACGCTTCATTACCGAGGTCATCAATTGAAGTATCCACTAATCCAATCATCTCTGAGGCCTACAACGTGGTGAAACCATTCCTCCTTCAACTGGGTGAAGATGCTCAACTTCTACGAATGTGGGTGGTGTTGAGCATTCCCAAAATTGAGGATGGTAACAACTTTGGTGTCTCCGTGCAGGAGGAAGTGATGGTGGATGCGTCGAGAACTGAAACAGACGTCACATCCATGTTGGATTTCTATTGTGACTACCTTATCTACCGAGGCAAAATAAATACCAAGAGGATCAAATGGCCTGGCATCCGAGCCTACACAGAAGCACTGGTGGAATTGGACGAGATGACGTACATACGCATTAGGATGACATTGCAGGACATAAGGAACAATTATGCTCGCCTCTACGACCTATACATGAAGAATATTAGTAAAATTCGAGATCCTCGATCCGACAGCGGAATTAATGCTGTTAACATCATGTATTAAGTTAGGAATGGTGACAATAATTTGCTAGCTTCGAGGGGTCAAACGAGCTCATTCCTTCCTCTCCCTTTGGTTGATGTGCATTTTTAATAAACCTCTCTACAACTCGTGCCTCTCGTCCTAATTTCGGGGAGATTTGCATGATTTAGTAGCTAAGCACCTTTATCAAATGTCAAATTAACTTTTAAGGTAAGTTTGTCCCTCCCTCTCACCCTCGCCCTAAGACGAGGTGCTCAGTTGTGCTTCAAGCAAGAATGAAGGCGTGCTCTGTGGTGAACCATTTTGCGCCTTTTGTCGAGTTAATGAGATGGGACTACCTGTTCTATCCTGTGGTGAGTGGGAACGAGTGTTGTCCACATGGGCCCACGTCTTCTTCCCCACTTCGTATGTGTTAATTTGTGCTTTGACAAGGAATGGGACGTCACCTACATTAAGTCATCACAGGATTGTTGATTTGGACGTCTTAAGATAAGCCCTCGGAGCGATGGACAGCACT